GGAGTGGAAGAGCTTACAGTCTAAGTATAGATCTAAGACAGCATGCGGACAGAGCAAGAGAGAGAATAAGGTTAACAGGATTAACAGGTTAAGGTTAACAGGCTGATGAAGTTTGCAGCATGCTTAGTTTTGCACCGCTATGCACAAACACAGCCTAGTTGTTTACGAGAGAGATACTGAAGCTGCACAGCACAGCAGAACATGGTGGAGCCACGGGGCACGTGAAGGAGAGTGGAGGGTGGGAAAGGAGTGTAAAGGAGTAGGCCTGGCCTACTTGTTGGGGGCCAGGTGCCTCCAGCTTACATTTTCTACAGTGAGGCTGAAGAAACCCTCAGGAGATGTTTCTCCCTGGACATGGGTCTATGTTACTCTTTTATGTTAATGACTATCTAAAGGGGCTTCTGTAATGCCCAAGACAGGGTTTGGGCTAGCTGTAATCCTGTCCCCAGATTTCCAGTTTAGAAATAGGACAAGTAGGCCGCATGTTAAAATAACCCGTGAGCTGTAAAGGTTGGGGAAACCCGCCACAGAAGTACCTGGCGAGGAAGCGTCTCCCCTTTCCTCTTTAGAAAAATGGCATTTGGTCCTGGTGACTGGTCCTGTTGCAGAACCTCTCAATGCAAACGGGTGCTGCTTTTGGCTGGGGTAGAGTCAATTTTCTTCATAGTAGCTAGTAGGGGGTCATGTTTTGGATTTGTGCTGGAAACAGTGTTGATAACACAGGGATGTTTTCGTTACTGCTGAGCAGTGCTTACACGGAGTCAAGGCCTTCTCTGCTCCTCACACCACACCACCAGCGAGTAGGCTGGGGGTGCACAAGAAGTTGGGAGGGGACACAGCTGGGACAGCTGGCCCCAACTGACCAAAGGGATATTCCGCACCATATGACGTCATGCTCAGCATATAAAGCTGGGGGAAGAAGAAGAAAGAGGGGGACGTTTGGGGTGATGGCGGTTTGTCTTCCCAAGTACCCGTTACGCGTGATGGAGCCCTGCTTTCCTGGACATGGCTGAACACCTGCCTGCCGATGGGAAGCAGTGAATGAATTCCTTGTTTTGCTTTGCTTG